AGAGCGTTGGATGGGATCTAGTGTAGTTGCTGCTCTACCGTAAAGGTGAGGTCAACGAACGTGTCTGCCGGAATATGAAGTTGCTAAAATTTGAAGACTCGCAGGAAGACAGGGAGCTGGCTTTTGTTGACGCTACTTGTGTTGAGGAAAGCCAGCTTGCAGCAATCGACGGTAGTCAACTTACTCAAGTGCTGCTAAAGGAAAAGAGAAGACCTGTTCATGCAGATCACGTTTCAAGGGTGTAATTTCCATGAAAATGCAGAAATGTAGGAAATTGGTTTGAGAGATAGTTGGTCAATATTACCGGATGTACAAGAACATTCCTCAGGTAGAAGAACAGGTCTACCTAGAGGACCATTTTTAAACTACCATTACCCCTATTCGGCAGCATTAAATTAACGTGAAAGCGCGATTGTCAATTTTCAGTCTTTATTGCAGACCACGTCAATCCTTCCTGTAGCAGTTTATTGAATATTGAATGGAAGCAAAATGCTCTAATGCTTTTGAAATGGTCCACATAGGGCGGCATTTACTTTGGCGTGAGCGGAGTCATCAGACTAGTTCTCAAGCAGCTGCCAAACGTGAAGGTAGACAACCACGTTGACGTTGATGTGGACGGCATTTTGAAGTGTCGCACGTACAGACGACAGCGGAATAGCCACGACCCCATCTTCAATCCGCCAATCTACTTCAGTCAGAAGCTGCGACTTGTTGCCGCTGCAGGTGGTACGTTGCCCTACCTTAATCACGCATTAAAATGTTCTGAAAGTTAACAAAATGACTGAACATGAACGGCTCCATGCTATCTGCTGCTACTCCTGATCTGCCCTCACTAATTAGATCCCTCTGTATCGCAGATGTCGCAAACCAAATGCTCGGGATCAAACGTAGGAGGCCGTAGTCGATAAGCCTGTTGAGGGCCCCGGCATGTTGTCTGGAGCCACGCCGGGGCCACTGCGACAACCTAAGGCCGGACACGTTACCCTGTGTTCCCGCGAAAATATAAAAGACCCGAGTGGAGAAGGCACAACCGTTTACTAATCATGTACAAAAATAAAAACAGGTGTCTGTGAGGTCACATGACTAAAACGGGTGGTGGGGGGACATGCAAGGTGCTTAATGAACCAGTGGCCTCACGTGACTGACGAGCAGGTCGTGAAAAGGGGGGACGTGTGCTGGAAACTGCGAGGACTGGGTTCTTGGACATGAATCAACACGATTCACTACTAGCCAAACAAGTTAATGGCTGTTCCCACTTAGACCACCTTAACAATGCAGCCGAGTTCAATCAGCAGCCTTTGACTATCCCCAAAGTCGCTTGTGACAGACAGTGGAAGGGATTCTGACCAATGGGGTTGACCTAAAGTCTTACACTAGTCACGAATGACAGAGTCGAGAGAGCTGGCTTGAGTTACTCTACTTCTACAAATGTGCGAATTTCAGAATAACAATTAATTATGTCCACTGGTTGCATTGCAATTCATTAGTAGTGGGACGAGTTGCCATCCAGAAGTGCAGAAGGCTGCAGTTTATCAGACGAACTCTGGTTTCCACACAACTTTAACGATCACAGAATTCTTCGTGCTCGGAACATTCAATTTTCTAGCCGATCAGCATGGTCTATCGTCTTGCATGCCAGTTGTGTGAAATAAACGTGAACATCCAAGATCTAGCTGAAGCCCTTTACCGCACGAAGTAACCCAGGAAGGACATAAGTCCAGAGTTGGCAGGCGCGACCATTTACTAGACAGCTCAATCAAGTTGTGCGGACATGTAAAAATCAAGACAGGCGTCTGTGAGGTCACATGACTAAAGCTGGCGGTGGTGGTGGTGGTGGTGGTGGGACATGCAGCGAGGTTAATGAACTGGCGGCCTCACGTGACTGACGGGCACACCGTGAAAAGGGGGACGTGTGTTGGAGGCTGCGACGACTAGGTTATTGGACTTGAATCAATAGGGTTCACCACAAACCCTTTTTGTGTGTTTACGCTCTTGACATCTAGCTTACTCTCGGTTATGATTCATATAATTTTGTTCCTAAAACATTGACCCCACGTTTAAAAACAACACTGAATGCATATTTGACGTTGGAAGACACCTCACGTTGGATTTATTTGATACAATACTGAATCGTGTTGATTCATGTCCATTAACCCGGTCGCCGCAGTCTCCAACACACTGCCCCCGTATTTCATGCGGGACCGTCTGACCACACACTCTGTGCTTGAACCCCGCGCTGTCCACTTTGCTCAACTCTCCATTCAGTCATTTGTACTTTTACGGGTTCAACTCAAGCTGAATTGGTAAAAAGTAAACTCCACTAAGCATGCACGAGGTGTAGCCATCTACTTAACGGTTGTCTCCGCCATTTCTAGGCTTTTATTGTTTTCTGGGGTGTGTGTGCGTAGTTTAATAGGCCTTAACACCGAGGTGGCCCTGGTGCGATTCGAGACCAAAGACCGGAGACCTCAACAAAGATACCACCTGGCCAAAACTCGCTCTTGATTGGTCAACAGCCATATGTGCCATGAGCCCAATAAACATAGAACAGATAGCCTGGGAATCCCTGTCTCGGGCACACCATTGTCCATCTCACCATTGCTGGTGATCAGTACCTTATCTCAAATATGAAAGAAAATTGCTCTTTTAATTACGCCTAGACGTATCTTTTTTACGTATGTTTCACAAGGTGATTTAGGGCAGAATTAAAAGTTGCATTGACAGTAATTTGGTGAATGCATATATTGGCACAAAAATGTGTCAATAGTGTTAATCACTCAGGTAGTCAGAATGTGTCAAACCCCTCACAGAACTGATGGCAGTGAATCACTTATTGATAAGTCAGTTCGTATGTACGTGTCGCATTTCGTTCTCCAGCGATGTGCCACTTTATTTTCCATATTTCCATTGAATGCGTGGTTGTAAATAAGATTTACTTGCATTTAAGAACATCTCAATGATCACGGCTACTTGAGACTCAAGCCGTGCCAAGTGAGGGTGTTTGGTGTGCCTGGTGACTTCGAGGACGTTCTCCTCCATTCTGACCCCACCAGGTACTGGACAACCCACGCTAGAGGTGGTTACTACAACGCTTTTCGCACCGTGACCGTTCTCTTCGGACGAGTGGCACACATCATAGAAATTAGTGTAAAACTCAATAAGAATGGAAATGAGCCTCGTTCGATGGTTCTCGATGGGACGCGAGACGGCAAATCATTCCACTTCCTCCGTAAGGTGAGTCTGTTCTCCTCTAACTCATGCCTCGAATCCATTTTAAACTCCACCGCTCCAAG